CAGTCGGGAGAGTGGAATAGACGGTCCCCAGCGTCACTCTGTCCCACAAATCAACCAATTTACAACTGTTAAAAAGCAACAACAGCCAAGCTGGGGCCGCCAGAGATCAGGGGAAGAGGAGGAGAGACTTATGGAGTTCATAATGGCAGGAGAAGCCATGGTGAGAGAAAGAAAGGATCGCTCCCACCATTTTGAATCCTGGCCACTTCAAGTCTGGCCCTGGTGAGCACATGGAACAAGAGCTGGCAAAAGCTACAGCTGTGCCCTTCAGATGAAGTTGCTTGGAGGTGGCAGGGGAAAAGCGGGCCTTGGTGGCCCCCAGGCCAGCAAGACCACTAACAGAGTTCCTGTGGACCCACATAGGAGTGAGGAGCCAGAACAACTGGAAAAAGGAGCCACTCAGAGGCCAGTGAGTCATTGCATGGGACCAGTGCACAGCCTGTCCCATGAAAAGTGTGTGGAGTGTGGGCATTGGGCGAGACGGGCCACTGGGTGAACATTGGGATACAGCATGGACAGCTGATCTGCCTTCCAATCAGCACAGGCACACTCTATGTAGACTGATCCAGGAGTATAGAACTGCAGGAGTGCAGTTTGCTGAAAATACTCAGGCCCAGACCAGAGTTTACACATAACCCAGGTGTACCAGACCTCACAAGACCTGGAAGTACCTACAGAGTTAACCGTTAAAACCTGAGCTGCACACAAAACCTTCCCCAGGGAATCAGCAGCTAAGCAATAATTTAGCTCAACCACAGAGCTCAAGTGCTGGTCCCCACAGGAAGTTCCCCCATTTTAGAAGCTAAGCAATAATTTAGCTCAACCACAGAGCTCAAGTGCTGGTCCCCACAGGAAGTTCCCCCATTTTAGAAGCTAAGCAATAATTTAGCTCAACCACAGAGCTCAAGTGCTGGTCCCCACAGGAAGTTCCCCCATTTTAGAAGTAAGCAAAGGATGACAAATTAGTTCTAGTGTAGAGTTTAAGTAATGAAAACAATGAATAATCCAACACAGAACCGAAAGAAGAAACAAAATACCCACAGACCAGAGACAAAGTTTGATGTTAACTAGTAAAGATTTCACTTCACTAAAGAATACCTATAAAACATGGAAGGACCCGAAGCCCCCTGGACCCCCAAGCCAGGGAGCGGGAAGGGCCGGGGCCTCAGTCATGCCCCCCAACACCCACAACCAGCCCAGCGATGACCCCTGAGCCACCATAGGAAACACCCCAGGCTCCCAAGTCGGGGCAGTGGAGGGCCGAGGGCTTCAGCCACACACCCCTGACATCTGCATCCAGCCCAGCAACGACCACCAAACCACAGCTGGAAGCCCCCTGGTCTCCCGAGCCAGGGCAGTAGGGGACTGAGGACTTCAGTCACACCTCCCCAACACCAGCATTCAGCCCAGCAACGACCAAGCCACCACTGGAAACCCCCTGGACTCCCCTGCAGGAATGAGGGGGATGCCAGGGGCTTCAACCACACTGCCCTTCCTTTCTCCTTCTCCCACCCTATTTCCTTCCCCCTCCCACCCAACTGCTCCGCAACAGCATCTCAGAATGTAAAAACAGATGGAGCCAGGGACCAACCCTTCCTCCTTCAACCAGGCAAGGAGCACGCCAGAAATACCACTTCCATGTGGGTGGCCCCCACAGCCACCATGATAGCCACAGCTGCTGCAAAAGTGGCTAGACGCCACAACCACCATGCAGATGACCTGTCAGCCACTCAAGTTCATCGACACAAGGAGAGTCACTAGCAGAAACCAAAGAAAAGAAGAGGATGTCACTCTCCACAAAGCCCATTCAAGAGTGACAGAAGCATCTACTCTTATGATAATAGTGGGGGGCCTGAATACACCTCTTTCAGCACTGGACAGGTCATCTAGGCAGCAAATCAACAGTAACTTACTCTTCCAGAAGGAGGGAAGAAATCTAGAGTTATTGGAAGGGGGAGGGAAGGAAGAGAGATTAGATAAAGGGCATGAAAAATAAGTACAAGTTGTAATAGCGTATATGCGAATAATATTGATACGTCAACGTTGAACCCCCAAAATGTGTATAATCAATCATGATTCAATAAAAAAATTAATTAAAAAAAAAAGTTGAACCCAGGCAGTCTGGGTCCAAAGTCCATAGTTTTTCACATTTGTTTTACAATTACCTCGTACACTACAATTACCTCTAATAAGCTGTTAATTTTTCCACTAGCTTTTTATTAGAAATTTATGACTTGATCAACTTGGTTTGGTTTTAAATTATCACTAAAATGTGTGTTTTTGAAATTGAGTAGACATGCAGTTTTTCCTTTTATTCAGTTCCCCATGTTAAGTTCTCATTATAAATCTTCATATTATAGAAGTTGGCAAATATCTACTTGTTCTGGATATTAGACAAAGTATGAAACTCTAACCTTGTTTTAAATCTTTTTATGCCTTTGAGAGAAGGCTAGATGGACAGTGACCATTTCAAACATTTGCAAATTATAGTAGTATTTTATTTTAGAAATGGCCTAATAATGAATGTCACAAATATAAATAAGCTTATGTTTAGTCACTGTTCTACCACTCCAAAGAGGGATCCAGCATTAATCATTCTTGTAGGTGTTTTATATTAAGGTCGTCAACTTACTGTTATAGTTAACATACAGGCTGGAGTTCTTAGTCTTGATTTAAAATAAATAGGCGTTCTCTAAACTGTGAGAGTGCTCTGGAAATTTAGAATTTTAATACTTTCTGTTTCACCGAGTGAAAAATGAAAATGGCTATTTGTTTTTTTTATTTTTATTTATTTATTTATTTATTTATTTATTTATTTATTTATTTATTTATTTATTTATTTATTTATTTATTTATTTATTTATTTATTTATTTATTTATTTATTTATTTATTTATTTATTTATTTATTTATTTATTTATTTATTTATTTATTTATTTATTTATTTATTTATTTATTTATTTATTTATTTATTTATTTATTTATTTATTTATTTATTTATTTATTTATTTATTTATTTATTTATTTATTTATTTATTTATTTATTTATTTATTTATTTATTTATTTTTTAAAAGATGACCGGTAAGGGGATCTTAACCCTTGACTTGGTGTTGTCAGCACCACGCTCAGCCAGTGAGCGAACCGGCCATCCCTATGTGGGATCCGAACCCGGGGCCTTGGTGTTATCAGCACCGCACTCTACCGAGTGAGCCACGGGCCGGCCCGAAAATGGCTATTTGTGATATCCTTTCCAATAGCAGTTAGTTAGAAGACTTGCTGTGTCTATTTCAAGTATTTATTTCATTCAATAAATATTTATTGCCAGCTTACTGTGTGCTAGCCCCAGGGCTCAAGCATTTGCTAGGAAGGTAGTCTGTATGTCCTTTTCATAATTCTTCCAGTAGAAAGAGGAAACACACAGATCCCTCCTCTTGGGATTCTGTAGCTCTTTGCCTACACCTAGGTGATAGTAATTAACACACCCTTGTTGCTTGGTCTTTTTAAGTTATATGGTTGTATTCCCACTAGTGTGTGAGTTTTCTGGAAATAAGAATTGTGACTTACTAGGATTTGTGCTTTACTTGTCCTGGTGTTCAGCAAATGCTGGTGAATTATTTAATTCAGAATGTCCACTCCATGAGGGCAGGGATATCTTTGCCTGTGTTGTTCACTTCTGCATCCCAGGGCCTCGTACATTGCCTGAAACAATTGCCTGAGTAATAGGTACTCAGTCAACATATGCCTGATTGAGTTCAGATAAATTGAGATTTAGACTTGGATTGAGTCTATCTAGGGACAATAATTGGAGGCATTTATTTATTAATTTAGCAAGTGTTTCTGATGTATCATCTTATGCTACCAACTGTGTTGGGTACTGGAGATATTAGTCTTAGCCAAAACTAATTCTTGTGTCAGGACAAGATGTGTAAAGAAAAGAGTGGTTTCCAGTGAGAATTTTGGAGGCACAGCCATGTCTGGGGAGGTAGATTGAGCAAGAGGATCCCTCTATGTGCTGTTTCTTTCCATCATCTGCAACTTGGGACTCAGGGAGCAGGAGTGGATGGGGTCATAGAGGCCATGGCAGGAGTGTCTTCGCAAGGGAGGAAGGGGTCAGTGGTGCCCAGCAGTACGCAGGGTTGAAAAGAAATGGGGTAAGAGAAGTGGATTAGCTTTGACAAGAGAGAAGTATGGTCCGAAAGGGAATGTGTAGATGAACCAGCATCTTCATTCATGTGTACTGAAAAATTAGCGGACTGTTACAGAATTATTTTCTTTAAAACGTTTATATTTTAGGCACTTTAATTGTTTTTTAATGAGGTTACTACAGTTGAAATACTTTAATGCTAAAAAGAAAGCACATAGTCTAGCATGTCTTTTGGCTGCTGTGGGGAGTAAGAGTGTGCGTCCTTCTGGGCTTGAGTTTCGGCTCACCACCTACTCGCTCAGTGTGGTGAGCACCTGTGCTTGATCTTTCTGTGCTCAGTTTCCTCATGTGTTAAGTGAGGTGATGATTGTTCCTATCCTGTAAGATGAAATGAAAGAATACTTGCCTCATAGGAGCAGGTAAGAAAAGGAGCACATGGAATGTGCTGAGCACTGTGCCGGGCCACATGTTCACTGCATGTTTGCTTTGTTGTTCTTAATCCTATTCCCATTATTGCCAAAGAGTTTTCTGCCAGACCTGTCTCCCTCTCCCAGAATAACTGGAACTGGGGGGGATGGTTAGATGAGAACAAATTACTGCATTGATTAAAATGATTGAGTCTGTATGTCCCTTTCACGATTCTTCTATTAGAGAGAGTAAATGCAGGGCTTGTTTGTTTTGTTTTGTTTTTGGTGGTTGGCCAGTATGGGGATCCAAACCCTCGACCTTGGTGTTACAACACTACACACTAAGCAACTGAGCTACCAGCCAGCCCCTGCAGGGTTTGCATTTTATTGATATGCTTCCAGTTCTGTTATTTGGTGCAGTTAACTAACTAAAATTGTTGTTGTTTTAGCTACATGAAAGTGCTTATGATGCTGGCAAAGCCCTGCAGCGCCTGGTAAAGAAGCCTGTGCCTAAGCTGATCGAGAAGTGTTGGACCGAGGATGAAGTGGTGAGCATGGACAGGCATTTGCCTGGTGTTCTGGGTCTTCGGGGCTTTTGCTTTTCAGTGTGTGACCTTCCTGCTACACAGGGAAAGGGGACTCATTCAGAAGATGCAGTGGTGCAGACTGTCCTTGGCCTCCATCAGTTGAAAAGAAAGAGCCTTTAAGCTTTGTAATTGTACAGAAAGACTTGATTTTAGTAAGATTAGTTCATTGGTGATGGGAAAGGTTTTCCTGATTCATAGCAAGAGAGGAGAAATTTATAGTTACTCCTACCAAAAGTTAATTTAGGTTTGTTTTTGGTACAAGCTAGTTTATGACACCTCCCTATTTTAAGACATGTGCATATTAAAACCGGTTGATACATAACTGGTAGTGTTGGTGACTTGCTTTCTTTTTGAGAGCTTGCAGGGCCCCTAACCTACTGAAGGATCTGAATCAAAAGTGGGAAACATAGACTTGATTAAATACAGACAGTGGATTTTACATATTCATTTTATTGTTGTGGCCCATTGAAGGAAGTGGGGAGAGAGAAATGTGACCACAGATACAGACTTACAAACCTGTAGATTCCTACCCAGCAAACAGAGTTCTCATGAAGCTACATCCCCATCTTGTGACTTTTAAAAGGTATTGCTGTAAAAGGCTTACAGATTTCTTGTGCTTTCGCAAATACTGTCAGTCTTCAGTATGAATGCTGCCACTTGACATTTGCCCTTGAAGTTGAATGAAATTTAGATGAAGGCTGGCACTAGTACAGGTAGTGATTGCAAATTCCTCGTCTATATTTTAAAATACGCTAAGAAAGAGTGTTTAAAAATTGCATGTGCTTTTCTGATCCTGCTCTCTTTCATTTATTCAGCAATATTTATTGAGTGCCTATTATGTGCCAAGTGCTGTGCTAGAAGCTGTATCAAGAACACAAGGCCTCTCCTTAAGAGTCTTGTTTTAAGAGGGGAGACCATCATAAGTCACCATGTGTCAGGTGCTGGTAAAGTGCTGAGGAAAAGTAGAGTAGGGTAATGAGGATGGGAGTCCGCTGGGTGGGTCGCTGTCTTATGTAAAGTGGATCAGGAAAGGCCTGGTAAGTAACATTTAGAGGAGACATTAGTGAAGTGAGGAGAGAAGCCTTTTGGATTTCAGGGAAAAGAGAGTTCTAGGCCCTAAGATGAAAACATGCTTGGTATGTTTAAGAAATAGGCAGGAGTGTGTCTGGAGCACAGTGAGGAGGGGAGTGGTAGAAGAGGTGGATGGTGGGTTTAGTGGGGCTGTCCTAGCGGGGGCAGATCAGGTGTGGCTTGCAGATGCATGGTCAGGGTGTTGCAGTGTGCTCCACATGAACAGGTTCTAAGCAGAGTGACTCGCTGTGACAGTGGGGTTCACTCTGGCCGCTGAGTCCTGTGGGCTCTGCGAGCTACTGTGATGGTCCAGGCTGGAGACAGTGATGGACTAGCAAGGCAGCAGTGGTGGTAGTGAGAGCGGTGAGATCTGGGGCGTACATTGAAGGCTGAGCCAGGAGCATTTGTCCATAGAAGGGGCTATGGATGAGGGCAGGTGAGGGTTGAGAGGAATGAGGAAGAAACTAGAAGGAGCAGAGATTGACTGAAATATGGCCATCAAGGGTTTGGTAATAGAGGATCTGTTGAACAGTCCTTCAAGGCTTTAATTTCATCAGACTTACAGTGTAGTTGGTGTAGCTGTTTTAAAATAAAAATTAAAGATCTTAAATGATTAGTAAGGACATGGAAATATCTTTAACATTTTTTAATGTACAGACAATGGCCAAAGTAAAAACATTAAGTTTAGTTGTTTTGAAAAGTGATATTGCTACTGTTTTTCACTGTGAACTTATTTATGTGAGGATATTAGAGATTTGGCTGGTAAGATTAAAAACTTCTACAAACACCCTTGTGGAAGAAAGACCGAAGCCAACAAAAAGGACAGTACAGCTGTGTGAGGTGTGACTGTTCACCACACGTTGAAGGTTGCTTTCAGTCTTAGCCTGGCGTAGGATGGTCTACGGGTCCCTGTCAGTACGTGTGTGTGGCAGCTGCTTCTAATTCTTACTCTCCTTCACTTCTTGAACATCTCTTCTCTCCCTTCTGCCTCCCTGTCCTTTTGGAGTCCCCTCTCTTTCTCCCCCATCTCCATCCCTCCCTTCCTATTCATGCCTCCCAGCTCCTCACTAGCCATGATTCTGTCCTCTCTCCCTTCCTTCATTTCTCCTGTGACCTTTTATTCCTTCTGGAATTTTTAAAATACACAGCACACATTCCTCTCTTCCCACTTAAAAGAAAGCTGATTTCCTTTTTCTGCAGCACTTGATTATATTAGGCAAGATGTTGACTGTGTCCCATTGCTGCTGCTTGGAGGTTTTTAGCAGTGAGATGGCAAGGGGAGCCTTACACATCAGAAAGAGTCCTGCTGTGTTTTGAAAAACAAAACATGACTCCAACATGGTGAACATTCCAAGTATAGGATAATGATCTTTAACTGCATAAATCCATATCAGCTTGGGCTCATTTTTATTATGTTTGCTTCTTGTTTTGAGAAATGTTTGGCGGTCATCCAGCCCTTACAGGGCCCAGGGAGCAAATGGTTCTCTTAATTTGTAGGAAGTTAAGTTTCACTTTCTAAAACCTCAGCAGTGAATGAGAGGGAGTGATTGAGTAATTGATAGGTTGAAGGAAGCTTTTGATGAATGTATCCAAATCTTTGAATAAATTTATGTGTCCCCCCCCCCCCCCCCCCCCCCCCCCCCCCCCCCCCCCCCCCCC